CTGGTCCAGGTCAGTTGCATCCTTCTCCATGTCTGGGAGTCCTCCCATTTGAAGACAAAGAGTGGTTGGCTTCTTGGTGCCAATCGTAAGCAGAAGAAGGCATCTTTTAAGTCTAGTCAGGTAAACCACTCTGCCTCAGGGGGAAGTTGACTCAAGAGGGCGTATGGGTTAAGGACCACCGGGTGTAGAGTGATTGTAGCACTGTTAACTGCTCTCAGGTCCTGTACTAGGCTGTACCCTCCCCCACCAGGTTTCTTTACCAGCAACAAGGGAGTGTTCCAAGGAGACTGGCATGCGACTAAGATCGCCTCCTTTCTGAGTCACAAAATGTGCTCCTCGATTCTGAGCTGGGCCTTTCAGGGTATCAAGTATTGTCTCTGCCTCACTGGAAGGGCCCCAGGCTTTAAGTCAATTATCAGTGGTGCATGGGCCTTAGCCATTCCCAGAGGGTTTGTCTCCTCCCTTGCTGCAGGGAAGGTGTTCAGTAATTCCAGTGGGTTTTTTTCTGACTCCTCAACAGTGTGCAGCTTCCACTCATCTTCATGTGGGAGTGTGACTGTCAGAACCAGACCTTTTCTGGGCCAGCCTAAAGTCAGGCTCGCCGATCCCCCTTGTTCAGTTTTCTTAGTAAGTCTCTCCCTAGGAGGGGTATGGGACATTCCAGGAGGTAGAGGAACTCATGACATATCTGGTGACCCCCTAGTTGGCACATCTGGGTTTGACAGAATGGCTGGGGCTCCACTTGATTTCCTGTTGCTCCAGTTATGGTGGCCTTTTTGTTACCAAATGTGGCAACCAGGGTGGTAACAACCGAATACTCTGTACCGGTGTCTACCATAAGTCATTAGGTGGCCCCCCAACTCATTTTAACCATGGGCTCACGTGGCCAAGTTTTATGGAGCCCAGCCTGTCCTACTCTGAATCCATGCCAGCCAAGCTGATCAGGTGGGCTTCGTTAGGCTCTGGCTGGTACTTCACCTTCCCTTTGGGTAGGGCCCTATTCAGGGCCATTCTCTTGGGGCACTCATTTTTCCAATGTCCCAACTCTTTGCAGTAGGCACACTGGTCCGCCTGCAAGACGGGGGAAGGGGGGTGGAATTCGGGCTTCCCCCCTTTACAAGGGGGACCTGGTCTTCGGGTGGGACTGGCTGGCTGAAAGCTGCTGCCAGGAGGGTGACTGTTTCATCCGCTTCTCTCCCTCTGTCTGTGCCTGCAGATCTCAGTTAACGTAAACTTTGCTGGTGACTTCCAGCAGTTGGGTGGCTTCATTCCTGCAAAGCCCTCCACTTTTTTTTTTTTTTTTTTTTTTTTTGAGACGGAGTTTTGCTCTTGTTACCCAGGCTGGTGTGCAATGGCGCGATCTCGGCTCACCGCAACCTCCGCCTCCTGGGTTCAGGCAATTCTCCTGCCTCAGCCTCCTGAGTAGCTGGGATTACAGGCACGCACCACCATGCCCAGCTATTTTTTTGTATTTTTAGTAGAGATGGGGTTTCACTGTGTTGACCAGGATGGTCGTGATCCCTTGACCTCGTGATCCACCCGCCTCAGCCTCCCAAAGTGCTGGGATTATAGGCGTGAGCAACTGTGCCTGGCCAGCCCTCCACTTTCAGTAGCTTTCTGCCAAATGTCTGGAGCTGACTGGGCAACAGAGGTGGCATCGACCATCCGCACTTTTTCTGGCACTTCTGGATCAAACAGACTGTATATCCGGAAGGCCTCCCAAAATTGCTCACAGAAGTCACCAGGGGACTCATCTGGCTTTTGAGTGACTGCTGCGGTTTTTGACATGTTGGTTGGCTCCCTTGCCCCTTCCCAGACTCTTCTGAGGGCCTCCTGGTAGCACTGAAGGGAGGCCCTCCCTGCCTCACTGTTAAAGTCCCAATTTGGCTTAATATCCAGCATGGCTTCTACTGCCCATCAGCCTGTCAAGGGCTCTCACTGGGGTCTGCTCTTCAAGCCACTTTTGTGCCTTGGTTAAAATAAGTCTCCACTCCTCTGTATTGAAAAGTGTGAGGAGGAGCTGGTGGCAGTCATCCCAAGTGGGCTGATGTATCTGGAAGATGGATTCCAGAAGGTCAATTAGGGCTTGGGGCTTCTCCAAATATGCCAAAGTATGGTGTTTCCAGTTCAGGAGGTCTGTGATACTGAAGGGTTGGTAATAGAGAATGGGCCTCCCAGGTTCAACCGTCCCATCATGCATGACTGTGGAGGGGCCTCGAATCTCCCATAGAGGCATTTGAAGGGCTGGTTGCGAAGACCATAAGCTACTGGCGAGTCCCAGGGCACTGGGGCTCTGGGCCGGCTGCACTGGCCTCCGCGGTTTCCACCAACAGGGGGGTGTCTCAGGCAAGCTCAGGGGAGTGGGGGCCGATGGGGTTGTCAGGGGGGATGTAGGGTGGCGGTGGAAGCTCCTTCTCAGGCTTGCCTTGGTGGATGGGCTTTCTGGGTCCTTTGGTAACTTGAGCCACGAAAACCTTCCATTGTCCCTTTCTACCAGTGCAGAATCAAACCCAGGATAAGAGAGGCTGAGCTACTTCTAACCAGGAGTCAATGTAAGGGAATTGGTCTGGGTGTCCAGGATTGCTGGTGACAGGCTTCCAAACAGCTCGTACTGTGGGGAACATCTAAGGTCCCCTCAGATGGCCAGCCAACATTGAATGTTAGCCATTCCACCTCACAAATAGTTTTTAGTTTCCCCAGAGTCATTTTTACCCCATAATCTCCAGAGAAGCCCTTCCTGAAGTTTTTGATCATATAGTCTAGGACGGTGGGTTTTGACTGGCCCTTCCCCATGGCTTATGTCCTCTCCTTGACCCGTGGCATGAGACAGTCCAAAGGGAGGGGTTGTCCTGTTAGGGACCACTCAGGTGCCCGCCTGGCTATGTCCCTCATGGGAACTTTAGGAGCCTCTTAGCATTGGCAGGCAGGTCAGTATAAACACCCGGCTGGAACTGAGCCTGGCCCCATGCTGCCCTAAGCCTTATGAGGTCACCACAGAATCACAAGTAAGGGACCACTTGCAATTTTCACCGTGGAGCCACAGACTGGAAAATCAAGGACAGGCCCTTGAATTCCACATTTACTCACTCACACAGAATTTATTACATTCCCTCCCTAGCCTGGAGAGTCTACCTGTGGAGACCCTGGGAGGTACTCAGGCTCCCCTTCCATCTGGAGACGGGCCTGCCTTGGGTAGGGTCCCAGGACCTTACCTTGTCCAAGGTCTTCTGTTGTTCAGTCTGTCCCCTCCACGAGTGGGTGGCAGCACTGGGAGGGTGAGGAGGGTGGATCACCTGAGGTCATGAGTTTGAGACCAGCCTGGCCAACATGGTAAAACCGTGTCTCTACTAAAAATTAGCTGGTGTGGTGGCCAGTGCCTGTAATCCCAGCTACTTGGGAGGCTGAGTTTGGCAGTAAGCCAAGACTGCACCACTGCACTCCAGCCTGGGGAACAAGAGCAAAACCCAGTCTTAAAAAAAAAATCACACGTAAAGAGATTTGAACCTAGGCTCAACATTATGCTGCCGTTAGAAGGGGACTGTAAGCCACTTACTTGAATGCTATATATAAATCCAACTCAATTGTGCAATTACTGTTATCAAACTGAATTGCACCTGACTAGACCATAATGATGAGAACCAAGGTGGACTTTACAGAATGGAGAAGCAGAGGCAGTTAGCCAAGTTCACAGGCAATGCACAATGTAGTTCTGAGGTTACAGGGCCATTATGGGATGCTGAAGAAAGTCAAGGGCACTTAGGAAGGGCTGATGGTGGTCAGAGAAAAGTCAGGTTAAGAGCAGCAAAGTGTAAGGAAATAGGGCGCATTCCAGTTAAACAATCAGAGCCCTGAAGGTCAGAGGCATGTTAACATTTTACAGTAATTTGAAAATAACCACCTCTGCACCACTACATACAGACATGTCCTTCTCCCCTTAAGGGCACTTCTCTACAGCTTCACTTTGCTTCTCTAAACCTTGAGACACAACGCGGGGACTTTGCACTTGTTTTCCATCTGTCTGCCTAGAATGCTCTTCCGTCAACTACATATAAGGCATCTCCCTCAGCTCTCCCATGTTGAGTGAGGCCTCCCTTGCTGGCCATGTTCTTAAATGCCTCCCATTCACTGCAAACACATGCACTCTCTTTTCTTACCCCTTCTCCCTTAGCAATTATGGCTAGTTAACACTTTTATATATTTTTAGTACTAGTCTGTGCTCACACTGCTATAAAGAACTGAGACTGGGTTATGTATAAAGTAAAGGTTTAAGTGTCTCCTGGTTCAGCGGGCTGTACAGGGAGCATGGCTGCAGAGGCTTCAGGAAACTTATGAGGGATAACTAAGAGGACACACATGGTCAGAGCAGGAGGAAGTAGGGGGAGGTGCCACACATTTAATCTGAACCCTTTCTTGTGCCTCTGCCTTGAGACAACATGTTGCAATTGCATAACCTTTACTTTGATTAGTTTTTGAGGCAGGGTCTCGCTGTAACTTAGGTGGGAGTGCAGTGGCAAGATCATGGCTCACCACTGCCTTGACTACTTGGGCTCAAGCAATCCTGCCTCGTTTTTTGTAGAGACAAGGTCTTACTATATATACTGCCCAAGATAGTCTTCAAAAGTACTGGGATTACAGGCATGAGACACTGCCCCAGACACATTTCACATCTAAACTATATCTTGTGAGAAGTCACTATCACAAAAACAGCAAAAGGGAAACCCACCCTTTTGATCCTACCACCTCCCACCAGGCCGCCCCTCCTCCAACATTGGGGATTACAATTCAACATTATATATAAACTTATGAGCAATTACCTAGACTTATGAGGCTAGACTTTGCAATATGGAATGTCAAAGTTTAGATAAAAAGGCAAGAACAATGCTATGAATTAAGAAGCGCCATTGCACTCCAGCGTGGGTAACAAGAGCGAAACTCCGTCTCAAAAAAAAAAAAAAAAAAAAAAAAAAGAATGACTCCAAGATAAATATTAAATACTTTTATTTAGAAGTTCTGGATAATCAGTCACTTTTAACTAACTTACAGAGTAATGAGACCTCAATTGCTAGACATGCAGCAGACTGGTTAACAGGCGTGAACTTGCTTGACTGTTTTCTCCCACATGAAAACTTTTCATCACCTCCAAAACTTGTACCACTGTGTCCTTTTAAAACCCTTTACACTTCCTTATGCTACATACACACACACAGAATATGCTGACACATACCCTTTTGTGCCCAATTTTGTGAACCTTCTTAGGTTCAATGCAATGAATACGAAGAGCTTATATTCTTAACAGCTCTACTGTGGTCCTTTCCTAGTTTGCTTAAATTCTTTTAACTGTTAAACCAGGACACCAAATCTCAAGAGACAAGTGACTTTCCAGAAGTCATATGAAGCCTCTCATTCAGAGATACTCACATTCTGTGAAACTTGATTTACCCCTAATCCATTTCTTTATATGTGAAATGGGAGAACAAAATCAACCTCCGAATTATGAGAATTAAATTAAAAGATGAACATGAAACACTGCTATACTGCCCTGTTGCCACCAGCCTTGTCCTGCTGCTCTAGTTCCTGTGGCACTGCATGGACATGTGGTTGCTACAAGTTAGTACTCGTATTAGAGGCATTTTCTTATTGTAACTGAAAGGATAGTAGGTCTAACAATTGAAATACCAGCATCAGGACATCCCAGCTTCAATGGCTTGTACCTGTAGTTGTCAACCTATAGAAAGAAAAGTTTTAAAATGATGTTTTAAAAACAACTGAAATGTATCGCTTGTTCTATAAACTGTGTCAAGAAAATTACAGAGGCGCTCAGTTCTAACAAAATTTTTTCTGGATCAGGTGTGACTCCAGACAGGATCCAAAGAGGAGATTTTCAGTCTCTTCTCTGGGTTTTATGGAGACTTACTTTACCCTTCTGTGTTAGCCTCTTAAAGCACTGGATCAACCTTAAAAGGGCACAGGAAAGGGCACTTTGGGATTTTTTTTTTTTTTTCTCTTTCATTTTTACAGAGTTCACTACTATTTCCCGCATTGCTCTCAATAACCCCGTGGATCTCTGCTTCACTAGAAACAGCTGTTTCGTTTGGTGAGCCCCCTGCATGGATGTTTCCTTCCAGGTAAGGGAGAGCCGGATTCGGGCCTTGGCGACAAATACTGACCACGTGCTCGGGGCTGGGTCATTTCATCCCACTTAGGAACACACCTTTGCTGTTTATGAGGCCGCCGCACTTCCGCAGACGCAGGAGACGAAATCTTGGAGCTCCAGGTCGGCCGGGGTTGGGTTCCTGTCGCCGCACATGTGGCTCGCCTGAGATCTGCTACAAACCTGGCGAAGCGAAGCACAAAACTGTTCTGGTGCCCAGACCTGCCCGGAAACCTCCGGCTGCTCCGCTGGGCGCGGCGCCTGTGCCTCGCGCGGCCCCGAGACGGGCACGGCCGCCCGCCCCCCGGGCCGCCGAGGACTGCTCTACCCCTCCGTTCTGGCCGCCGGGAGCAGAGGAGCTCGGGACGGGCAAAGCTCGAGGGGACGCGAGGCGACCCCAGCCCCTAACCGGGCCCGCGGGCCGACCGGGCGCCCTCCCCTCCCGAGACCGAAAGCCGAAGGCTGAAGACCCACTCACCGCGCAACTCCAGCGGACAAAGAGGCCGGAGACCGGCACCCCGCGCACAAATCAGAGAGGTGGCGCGGGGCGGGGCGGAAAGGGGAGGGCCACGGGGCGCGCAGCCAATCCCGGGAAGACTCTGGGCGAGGGCGGAGCGCGCAGCCAATCCCGGGAAGACTCTGGGCGAGGGCGGGGCACGCAGCCAATCCCGGGAAGACTCTGGGCGAGGGCGGGCGCGCAGCCAATCCCGGGAAGACTCTGGGCGAGGGCGGGGCGCGCAGCCCATCCCTGGAGAGGTCGGGGAGCTCAGCCAATCCCGGGAAGACTCTGGCGGGGCGGGGTGGAGGGCCGCGGCACGCACAGCCAATCCCGGAAATCTTGGGCGTGTGTGTTGGCGGGGTTGGGGGGGCCGGACCAGGCCATTGGCTATCGGTGTCCGGGGCCGGCCTAAGTCTGGCTCCTGCAGTGGCGCGTGGACCTGCCAGCTCTGCGTGGAACATCCTTCTCGGAATCAGATGCGTCAGGCTCCCCACCAGTCCTCGGCGCTGGTGATTCTAGTGTTCTCAGGCTCTCCTCGGGTTCTCTTCTAGGGAGGCCATCGCGGTTACTCCAGGCCGCGCTACGGCCCTGAGACCCTTTCCTAAAGCCACACTCATCCGGTGTGTGTTCATAATCTGTAACCTTAAAGAGAAACCACGAGCTCACTCCCATGGTCCCTCCTAAAGCTAGAGGGACTGCCTCCTTTCCTCATGCTCCCTCTTTATTCATTTATGCAGTGTCCAGTAAGTAGACCATAATCAGCTGGAGGTGGGAGATGGGGAGGGTGAGAAGGCAACCATAGCAATCTCAAAGTAACAGGCTCAAACTTGGCAAACAAATAAGTAGAATAAAATTGGAGTATATGCTAAAAGGAGAACTTCTATTACTGTTTCACGTACTTACCATCTGCTAACAAATCTAATCCTCAAAATATCTTTTATCATCTCCAAATTATAGATGGGGAAATAATTATGTTATAACTTGCCCAAAGTCACAGAGCAGCCAGCAAGTGGTAGTTCCAGGATTTGAACTCAAGCAGTGTGAAAGCAGAGCCCCTCACACACCATGCTACCCAGCGTTTCCACAGATGGTGAGGGTGGAGCAGGAAGGGAAACCAAAAAATAGCCTATATTTGGTTAACTGATCAAGATACGCAGCTCTAGTAGGGTTGCGCCTTTTTTTTTTTTTTTTTTTTTTTTTTTTTTAAATGGAGTCTTGCTTTGTCGCCCAGGCTGGAGTGCCTGGAGTTCAAGCGATTCTCCTGCCTCAGTCTCCCGAGTAGCTGGGATTACAGACGCGCACCACCACACCTGGCTAATTTTTGTATTTTTAGTAGAGACTGGGTTTCACCACGCTGACCAGGCTGGTCTTGAACTCCTGACCTAGTGATCTGCCTGCTTCAGCCTCCCAAAGTGCTGGGATTTCAGGCGTGATCCACCACGCCTGGGGAAGATGTTGTGGCTTTGCAGGCAAAAAGAATAGTTCGTCCACAGCCCCAAGGTAGAACAGGAAAAGGCTTTACCTGTTTAAGGACCCCCAGAAATGGATCTTAAGGATATAGGAGCAGAGTGGTCTGAGATGAGAGTGGCTTAGGGCCAGACCATGCAGGAAACCCTGGGAGAATTTTGTTGTTTTTTGAGATGGAGTCTAGCTCTATTGCCCAGACTGGAGTGCAGTGGCACAATCATGCTCACTGCAGCCTCCACCTCCCAGGTTCAAACGATTCTCCTGCATCGGCGTCCCAGGTAGCTGGGATTATAGGCACCCACCACCACGACCGGCTAATTTTTGTATGTGTGAAAGAGTTTATGTATTGTGCTAAGAATGATGAAAAGCTGTTCAAGTGTTGTTTATTTTATTTTTTTCTTTTTAACAGGGGAATCATAGGATCTAATGTAGGGTGTGGTTTCGGGTGTGATTGAGATGATTTTGGTGGGAAGAAGAAATTGAATAAAATTTACTAATAGGCCGGGCGCGGTGGCTCACGCCTGTAATCCCAGCGTTTTGGGAGGCTGAGGCAGGTGGATTACGAGGTCAGGAGATCCAGACCATCCTGCCCAACATGGTGAAACCCCGTCTCTACTAAAAATACAAAAAATTAGCTGGGCGTGGTGGCGCATGCCTGTAGTCCCAGCTACTCGGGAGGCTGAGGCAGAAGAATCACTTGAACCCGGTGACAGAACAAGACTCCATCTCAATATGTATATATATATATACATATATATATGTATATATATATATATATGTATATGTATGTACATATAACCAATAAACCCCAGCAGCCAGCCATCATCTTGGAGATATTCATAGAATCTTGTTGAAATCTGAGTGAGAATATCAGTTGATTGTCCCTTCACCTCTCTCAAGAGTCTTCCAAACTTGTCTCTAGTTGGAATCTGCCCTTTTTATAATCCCTTTGGATAGCTGAGAGATATTACCTTTCCTTTAACTATGGCAATGAATGTGGTTAAGCTACATGGGAAAATGTTTGAAAAGAGAAGTAAATCTCCTCAGTAAAGAGACTAATGCAGGAATTCAGCAGCAACCTAGCAGAAACTGGGGGTAGCTGTGCAGAATGTCTTTCCCCCCAAATCAGGGGATAAAAATGGGAGGAATTATGAAAATTCTATTTGTGTTTGATTTAAGAGAAATTTGTCTCAGTCTGAAGGTTTCACATTTCTGGCCAAATACCTCAATTCAACGAAGATGACAAACTTAGTTCATTTCAAATAGTGAAACTGTTCCCTGGGCTTAGAGGAGACATGTCTGTTAAATATAGAGATGATAGAACAAAAGAAACTGATGTATAACTGCTTTTGAGTCAAATTCAATATAATATATATTTGGTACTAAAAATGCTTATAATGCAGCTTAAAAAGAATTGTTTCAATATGGTTTATTATTGGGCCTGATTTTTTGAGAGAAATCAGTATGTCCTCTTTGTCCTCTTTCCTTCCTTCTTTCTTTCTTTTTCCCTTCCTTTCTTTCTTTTCCTTCCTTTTCTTTCTCTCTGTCTCTCTCCCTTTCTTTCCTCTCTCTCTCTCTCTTTTTTTTTTTTTTCAGATGGAGTCTCGCTCTGTCACCAGGCTGGAGTACAGTGGCACAATCTCGGCTCACTGCAACCTCCACCTCCTGGGTTCAAGCGATTCCCCTGCCTCAGCCTCCCAAGTAGCTGGGATTACAGGCGTGCATCACCATGCCCAGCTAATTTTTATATTTTTAATAGAGATGGGGTTTCACCATGTTGGGCAGGATGGTCTTGATCTCTTGACCTTGTGATCTGCTCACCTTGACCTCCCAAAGTGCTGGGATTACCGGCATGAGCCACCGTGTCCAGTCTCTCTTTTTCTTTCAACAAGATCTTGCTCTGTCACTCAGGCTAGAGTGCAGTGCACAATCATAGCTTATGGGGCAGGCTCCAACTCCTAGGCTTAAGTGATCCTCCCCTGCCTCAGCCTCCCAAAGCATTAACACTACAGATGTGAACCACCACACCTGGCCAGTCTGTCCAATTTAAGGGAGTTTAGTCTGTCCAAATTTCATCTGTCAGAAGTTGAATAAAGGGACATAAAAGAATACTCACCAGCCCTCCAGATATTCTCATCTAGATTTACCAGAGACACCAGAAAACCATGCTATTGTCCCAAACAGAGTTCATTCTCTTCTTCCACCCCTCCACTCCCTTTTCGTGTCCTCTGCCTTGAAGAATTACAATTCCTTGGCGCTGGGCACAGTGGCTCACACCTGTAATCCCAGCACTTTGGGAGGCCAAGGCAGGTGGATCACGAGGTCAAGAAATGGAGACCATCCTGGCCAACATAACGAAACTCCATCTCTACTAAAAATGCAATAATTAGCTGGGCGTGGTGGCGGGCACCTGTCATCCCAGCTACTCAGGAGGCCGAGGCAGAATTGCTTGAACCCAGGAGGCAGAGGTTGCAGTGAGCTGAGATTGTGCTGCTGCACTCCAGCCTGGCAACAGAATGAGACTCTGCTCTCTCTCTCACACACAAAAAGAACAATTCCTTAGCCCAGCTGTCCAGGACTTAGCACAAAAGCTTTCCTTTCTCAGCCTCCTACTTCCTCATCTTCCATGCAGACAGTTCTTCCTACTGACCATCTATAAGTCTGCCTCTTCTCTCTAGCCCTTGCTTGTACTTTAGTTCTAGCTCCATCATTTACTTTCTGCATCATCCACTGCAGCAGCCTCCACCTCCATTCAAGCTTCCCTGTCTCCAGTGCTCCCTTCCCTATGAATTCCTCCACACTGCTGTCATCTCCATTGGAAATCCTTAAATGGCTCTTCACTGCCACCAGGAACAAAACCTTGTGTATCTACCTCCTCCTCCCACTTCCCACATACCTATTATGATCCAATCATGCTGAACTAACCACAGTTCCCTGAATGCTGTTCAGCACTGTCCCATACAACTTTCTGCAGTGATGGGAATGTTCTATATATCTGCTGTCCAGTATGGTAGTCACATGTGGCTATTGAGTACTGAAATGTGACTAGCACAACACAAGACCTGGATCTTGAAGTTTATTTACTTTTAACTAATTTAAATTTAAATAGTCATTCTGGGCATGGTGGTGGTATGCCTATATCCCAGCTACTTGGGCAGAAGTCGAGATGGGAGGATCCCTCGGGACCAGAAATTTGAGGTTGCAGTGTGCTCTGATAGTGCCTGTGAATAGCTACTGCATTTCCAGCTGCAGCGACATAGCAAGACCCCATCTCTAAAGAAAAAAAAAAAAAATTAAGCCAAGCATGGCAGAACAGGCTTGTAGTCCCAGCTACTCAGGCAGCTGAGGCAGGAGGATCGCTTGAGCCCAGGAATTCAAGGCTGCAGTGAGCTATGATGGCACCACTACACTCCAGCCTGGGTGACAGAAGACCCTGCATCTACGATAAATAAGTAGATAAAAATAAAAGTCAAATCTGGCAGGTAGATACTACATTGAACTGCATGCAGTTTATATCCTTGCTTCTCAAAGCGTGGTCCATCAGCATGGGCATTCCCTGGAAACTTGTAGAAATGCATAAT